CATGCTTTTATGGCCCTATCCCGTAAACAGACCTTTATGAGCTTCTAAAAATTCTATTGGGATGTCGAGGTAAGATGTATGTATTCATGTCGTACGAAATGTAAGTTGGTGCACTGGTTGTACTTTAAGTGATGTGGAAAATCTCATATACCATTAGTTCGAATCCAGATGTTGTCAAATTTTGTGGCCATGGAGCTTCATTTGTGATGACTCCAGACCATTCATTGTCACCCAAGGGATTAGTCAGTGTACGTAAGCTGACTCGATAAACCCCACGACTACGAAAAAAAAGCTATGAATTAAATGAAAAGTTGTAATTTTAACTTTTGTGTGATTTATAGAAGACATATGACTAAAAAAATAGAGTGAATTGTGGGTTTTGACAGAGTTAAAAACAAAGACAAAAACCAAAACAGAACTCGATGAGTTCTTTCTGTTATAGTAAAAGTTGGAGGACGGAAACGTAAAAAACCATAATACCGCAAGGACCAAAATGATAATCTAGTAGACATATTGCTCTCTTCCTTATGTTCTTGGTTCTTTTCTTTTCCGATTTAAGGAACGATATTAATTTGTTGGAAACAAACTTCGAAATAGAAGAAACACTGGTACATGTTTAAACAATTTGACATCGTTACATGTCATGTCATTAACCATACACATTAACTATCCAATGATCGTATTTATTATCCCTCAAAACAGTAAATATTACACGTGGGATTGATTTTGACAAGACACATTATTCGTGTTTTAGACAAATCTTCAGCAGATGTATTTCATTATGCCAAATACATTGTCTAAAATGTCATCGCAATGTATTAAACATTTACAGTATATACATATATATATACATACATATATACATAAGGTTGAGTTCACGTGAGACCAATGATTTTTCGTGAGACTCGTAAGACCAATTTATGTCCATTGATCAACTTTATAAGCTAATGATTTAATGGTCTAAAGTTGCACGGTGGCAATTTTGTGATTATTGAGAAGTCTCGTGGCATTTATGAATGTTCAGATTATCAGAATGTAAATCTAATCCAAAGGTTGAGAATTGGTCTTACAGGTCTCACGAAAAACCTTTGATCTCACATGATCCCAAGTCTATACATATACATATACATATACATATACATAAACATATACATATACATATACATATACATATACATATACATATACATATACATATACATATACATATACATATACATATACATATACATATAC